CACTCCACCAAGGATTATTTTTAAAAGAATGCCAATAATCTACAAGCTACTAAATTCAGTGGACGTTTCTCTGTCCACATTGTACTCCATCTTCCAGCTAACATAGTTGAATACTTCCTCTTTCTTAAAAAACCTCTTTCCCTCTAACTTGTTATAGAACATTCCCTGGCTTTTCCTTCTCCCTCTGTAGTTGCTCTTTCTCCGGCTTCTTTTCCTCTTCACAAATTCTAAGTATTAATACTGTGACTTGTGACTAAGGAAGGAAGGGAAGTGAGTTCCACTATTCTGGAACTCAGTGTGGGCTCAGTCCTCCGTTGTCTGCTCTTCTTTCTCTATTCATTTTTCTTTCTCTTTCTCTTCCTAGGGTTTCATCCATCTCCCTATGGCTTTAAATACCACCTATATGATCATGACACCACATTTAAATATCTACCTAGATAGTTCAGATATCTTGATTTTTTTCCCCCTCTTGGCCCGTTCACTCCCTTCTTAGCAAATGGTTTTACTGCCTACTTACATGGCTGATCAAGACAGAATCTAAAGTTCATATTTGATTCTTCTTTCTCCCTCATTCTCTGTAATCATTCCATTAGCGTGTCTTGTCAATCCTGTCTCCAAAATCTGTCTGGAATCTATCCATTTACCTTTATCTCTATGACTGCTCCAGTAATGCTTACCTCTCTTATCTCTTGCCTACACTCCCCGATTGGCCTTCCAACTAAGCTTCCAGTTGGCCCCTTCCAGGAGCCATCCAGCTTCCAGCCAATCTTCTAATATAATATTGTATGTCAATTTTACTTAAAAAAAAAAAAAAAAAGTAAAAGGGGTCATGTTAATTCCCACTTAAAACTTTGAAATAGTTTCTCTGCAAACACATTTCCTGGAGTCAAATTCTGGTTTCACCACATTCTAGCTGTGGAATCGTGGGCAAGTTGCTTAATCCCTCTGTGGCATAGTATGTGCTGGTAAAGTGAAAGAAGATAATTCATATAAAGCACTGAAACCATGCCCAGCACTCAATAAATGTCCACAGTTATTACTAATGTTACATGGCTCTACAAAGCCCTGTATGTTCAGACTTCTGTGGGCCTAAGGCCTCAGGCTAACCACTTGAGAATCCCTTTCCTAATGACTTTCTTCAAAGTTGGGTTCTCCGATTTTTCTCTACCTCAACAACCTATTTACTTTATACTGCTGATCATCATCTCTGATTATCTTTTTCTTTTGTTTGTTGCCTGTCCTGTACCCTAGACTACAAGCTCCACAGAGAGGGACCGTGTTTAGCTTGTTCACCTTTTTAACTCTGGTGCCTAGCACATTTCTTACCACACAGTAGGAATTTCTTATATATTTGTTGATAAAATAATTAATGAATCTCACATGCTTATAGCAAGACCGTTGGAGATTTACTTTTTGATCAGTTTTTCCTTCTGATTCAACTTGACTTTCCCTAGAATATAACATTTATTTATAACGCTGTAATCTGTTTTGCATGTCATGAGAGAGAATTTTCTTATCTCCTCTCTTCAAGTTTCATATATAGAGACTAAAGTGGGGAAGAGAACAAAAGTATTGGTAATGAAATATCTTTGGTTTATAAGATAAGCTTTCTCATATTTTAATATTGCACTTTCAGTGTGTAAAAGAACTTCTCTCAAAAAAAGGAAATTTTGAGGCATGATACTGTGCAGTATCAGCATAATCTGTACTGGTTGTTCACCTTGGATGCCAACCAAAGGATATTTGTTATTGAAGTATCAGAAAGGCCTTTAAAATAGTCTTACAGAATGAACACTAAAAATAGCATTATAAAGACATATTTCAATTAGAGTTAAATTATGTGTTAAGAGAAGTGTTATCCTTATGAAGGTATTATTTTAAATGCTTTTCTAGTTTCTAATATTTTTCTAGTCAACCTACAAATAATTGGAATGAGTATACCTAATAAAAAGAGGAAGGTTTTCTTTCAGATCACAGTAATATCAAATGGTTGCTCACAATTTTCCTTTGCTTCTAAAATACAAAACTTCTTTAAAGATATATTCTAATATGTAAATCTTTAAATGGAAGTTTTATGTGTATTTTTCACCTTGGTACTTTCAATATTTATGATACATTTTTGCAGTTCAGTACACTGTTTTGGTTAGACTCTTCTCATAAAAATATTTTCTTTAGGACAAAAAATATTTTCAACAAAAGAAAAGGAATTTTTTTAGTGTATACCTTACTGTTATTGGATTAGTCATCTTAGACTTTTCTCTTGGCTCATTTGTTATATAACCTTGGTTATGTAAGCAAACTTTATTAATGCTCCAGTTTTTCACGAGATAAATGAAGAGGTTCAAAGCCTACAATCTTTTGAAGCCTTTGAAAGTATTGATAACAGGAATCAGATTTTCAGTCAAAATTATTGATATGCTGATTTGATTAAGGAAATGAAAAATGAATTTTTCCTAACAGCTTCTGTCTCTTTAGTACACATGAATGACTTGTCTTTGATTAAATGATAAAAATATGATCTTTTTCAATTTGGATCACTTCAGTATTCTTTTAAATACTGAATTAAGTTATTTTTAAAATGTTATCTCAAACTTAGATGTGTATTTTATGCAAAATACTTTTTTTCTTAACCAGAACTAAAAATGAAAACAATGGATGATTCTCTTAAGTAGCCCTTCCTCTTATATTTGTCCTCTCCTCCCCTCTGTTGCGGTAAATACTGTTGTATTAAACCAGGTCTGTGCAATATTATGCTTCAGGTATGATTTTATTTGAGTGGAATTATTGATTTCACATGGAGCAAGCATTTCATTTGTGTTGGGGTTAGCTTAAAAAATCATTAGTAGGGGCCGGCCTGGTGGCATAGTGGTTAAGTTCTCGTGCTCTGCTTCAGAGGCCTGGGGTTCACAAGTTCGAATCTGGGCACAGACCTATGCACCGCTTATCAAGCCATGCTGTGGCAGGCGTCCCACACATAAAGTAGAGGAAGATGGGCACGGATGTTAGCCCAGGGCCAATCTTCCTCAGCAAAAAGAGGAAGATTGGCAACAGATGTTAGCTCAGGGCTAATCTTCCTCATACACACACACAAAAACATTAGTAAAAGTAAAGCCAAAAAAATCATTAAAATAATATTATATACACATATATAAAAGACCTTTAGACTTTAAAAGATTTCTAAAACCAGATAGTTTTGTGTTTGTTTTTGGTATTCTTCAACAGTTGCTAAAACAATATTAACATTAGGAAGCAAACAAGAATAGTTTTATCTGACTCTTAGAATGTACTTTTAAACCTGGTAAGCTCAAGATGGGGAATAGAAAAAGTAGACCTTTTCTTATATAGGGAAATACTAGCAATAATGGTTGCCAGCATCAAAAACCAGAATTCTTTTCTGACACGTGTCCCAAAGAATTTGGTGGTGTAAAACCATTGAAATCATATTCTTCTGGAGTTGATAAAATATTCTGTCAACAGCCAACTTAGCCATTGGGGCAGGGACAAAATCTCAGATATATAGATTTGTCTAAATATCTCTTTTTGTGGAACACTTCCATTGAATATGTAAAAAATCCTTCCATTTATTTTACTAATCTTTGTTAGGCTGGAAGTTTTAATTTTTTTTCCTTTTATATAAATCAATAAAAGCAATTCTCGTATTTCCAGGGAAACAGACAACATCTGTTCCAAGCTAGTCTTCCCCCCATATTTGTTTGTAACCTCACATCTGTCAGAGGGTAGTTATCTCTTATTTTCCTCTTTGTATTTTTGTTATTCATTTAAAATTCCTTATGAACCATAACATAAGTTAAATTTTCTTTAAATATTTCTGTTTACTAATATGGTTTAATAGAACATATACAGAACTTAAAGTAAGAAGAACGGGGTTTCCTCCTTGAGCAATTCATCCACATGAGCTTGGGCAAATCGTTTTAACGTTAACTCTTGATGATAAATTTGAAACTCATGACAATTTCTTCCACATTTACTTCAAGTAAGTGTAAGGCTTTTTTGCAAGTATCAAATGATATGTTTGTAAAAGTATTTAGTAAACTGTGAACTTTTCAGAATTGATGGTGGGATTTTGAGCACATTAAAATCTTTTTGCAGCCTTTATAAATTCGTGGATACTGAAAAGAGCAAGACAAATTTCATTTACTAAAATGTTTTCCCTTTAGTTAGTGGAGTGTTATAGAATGGTGTTCACTGTCTATATGTGGTATAAGTAGATGTAACAATTTAATGATCCCTGGTTACTGAACATAAAGTAGTTTTTGCATAATATTATTTTTAAAAAGAAGTAAATTCAGTGATCTTACATTCTTTTCTGGAAAAATACATTAGGCCCATATTATGATATTTTTAAAAAATATTTATTTTAAATATTTTCAAATAAAATTTTAGCATTTTAAAAACTAATATTTACAAAACAGATGGCTTTACAGGAATTAGCCAAGATAGATTCATATTCACGTTTTGTCAGAGATAATGAATACTTTCTTTTTCTTATGCAGCCACTTTGGTAGCCCATCTACAGTGTTAAAGTTAGTATTGCAGTGTTAAAGGTTAGCACAAATTACTAATAACCCTTGGAATTACAGAAAAACAGAATGTATATTTGTGTTTGTTCTATGTCTAGAACAATAGTCTACATAGTTTTAAAAATAGACCAGTATAAATGACCGTGAATTTGCTGTCATTCAGATTACATTTATATTGCTTCACTATTAGGAAAAAATGCTAGGTACTCTAGAACCATTGAAAGAGTCACTTTGGGGATTCTATTTAAGAGAGGTGGAAACGCTTAGAATGATTTTTTGTCATATTGGCAGTTTTTGTTTTTTTCTAAATATCTACAAGACTTAGGTGATCCAAGTATGTTTTTATTTTGATAAATAAAATTTAGTTTTTTCTACTTTAGTTTGGCCTCTAAGTGATTTCTCTAGATGAAACTTCAGTCTGTTTTTAATATTTATTTATTCACCTATTTCATTTTTTAGGAGATTTTATGAGGATGGAGCAATTGTCTTGGGTGAGGAAGCAAATATGCTTGCTGGCATGCTGCTTGGACTCAATGCTATTGATTTTAGGTACTTAATCTTACTAAATATGTTTAGTTCTTAAATTATTCTACTTCATAATAGTTTCTACTTATGATTTTTTCCTTCCAGTTTTCTAAGTAAAGCACACAGTTGGGTGTTGATATTTGATTCATATTGTTCCCTTTCAAATGACATCAGTTTTCTAAAAGGGTTTACTCTCAGAAGAGAGACTGTCTCAAACTTAAGAAATTAACTGACAGGCTTGCTCTCTTGTTGGGTTAAAAAAAGCCTTAGACTGCATCCTCCCAAGCAGAAAGTCGTGTACTCTGGTAGCACTGAAGGAAGGTTTTGGATCTTATCTCTTAGTATTTTTCAGCTACTGCTTTAAGTGAAAAGAAATACACTAAAAGTAGAGTCAAAGCCAGAAAGATTTTCATTATCTCATGTGTTGAGATAAAGAAGATCCTGACAGGATATCTTGAGTATCTTATGTTTCTTGTATTATGTATCTAAAATATAAAAAAATTAATATTTGCTTTTATTATTAGTAAGATGAATTGATTCCAGACTAAGATGACAAGTACTAAAACTGCACAATGTGAGTTCTTTTTAGATTTATGGAAGCATCTTTTTGCATTTCTTTAATTGATTCAAGATTTTACATTATACTAAAAGTAGAAAGTTTGTCTACAACAAGAACTCAAATATAAGAATAAAGGATATATATTTTTATTGAAATATCACTTAAAATGCAAGAATATTAACAAAATAAGTATAAAACTTAAATGAAATATACTTTTGGGTCTTGAATTAAAGAGTTACACTATCCGTTTTCACTGAGGTTACCTTTTTCTAGTAAGTCACTTCCTTTTCAAAATATTTATCATTTTATAACTTTCCTCTATTTAAGATTTAATAAGGTAGTGTTAGGTTAATTAGCTTAATTGTTTAGGATGAACATGATAGATGCAATATGAAGATTGTCTGTGATTCCTCTAAGGGTGTTAACTTTTTACATGGCATGCTGCTGGCTCTGTCTAAATCCTTTACAATTTTTCTTTTTTTGTAAAAAAAAAAAAAAAAACCTGAGATAAGAATATGAACTGTTTTATTGTACCCCATTGGTTCTGTGTAATCAACTGAGAGCAAATGTCTTAAAGATACATTAGTAATGTTTCTGTAAATGAAGAAAAGCCCATATAGTGTGTTCCACTTTGATTCTGTCCTTATTCAAGTCTGAAAAAATGCATATATACCCTTGATATTAATATATTAGTACAAATATTTCAACAGACAAACTTCCAAAGAAACCAGATGATGGGAGTTCATAGATGAATTTTTTCCTTTGAAAGATCAACCTACATCTTATAAATATTCCTATGGTCATCTTCCTAGAAGGTGTACTTTTTCTTTTAACAATAGTAATCATAAGCACGTTTTTTTTTTTAAATCATCCAATTGGATATACCATTGTACGAAACAAAGATTACTGGGTTGGCGGACCAGGAGATCTAGAGTTTCTTTATAGGCTTTACAAGACTCACAGTATGACTTTGGGCAAGTCACTTAACCTTTTCCTTGTTGCCATGGCCTCTTAAAAAGGATTGAATAGATATTAGAAGATTTTTTGCATTCTTTTTAGGTCTAAGATCTAAGACCTTCCACCTGTTCAGGTAGTTTAGAAAACCCTCATTTTCTCTCTCTCTTTTTTTTTTTTCTTTGTGAGGAAGACTAGCCCTGAGCTAACATCTGTGGCCACTCCTCCTCTTTTTGCTGAGGAAGATGGGCCCTGGGCTAACATCCGTGCCCATCTTCCTCTACTTTATATGGGACGCCGCCACAGCATGGCTTGACAAGCGGTGAGTCAGTCCACGTCCAGGATCCGAACCTGCAAACCCCAGGACGCTGAAGCGGAGCACGCGAACTTAACCGCTATGTCACAGGGCCAGCCCTCATTTTCTAATTAGTCAGATTTTTTTAGGTGATATTCAGTGTCACCTGAGAATTTATATGTAAATGTGAACAAGTCTTCATTTGAAAGTTCTCTAGTGATGTCCAATAAAGACCAAGATAGTATGAAATAAATAAACAATGTTTGAACAGGTTTCTCAGTAAGTTTTATATTTGCATAATATATTTATATAACAGTGTATTAACTTGCACAATGCTTTGTCATTGGTATTGAAGGTGGAATATCTTTATTGAGGTATTTATTTGTAACAAGTAACATTTAAATTACAAACAAACAAATTCTCCTGCAATTTGATGAAACAAACGTCTCTAACAAGAGATTGTTTATTAACGCTTAAGTTTGATTTAAAATTTTATGTATTAATATGGAATATTTATTGTCTGTTTTCTTAGCTTCTGCCTAAAGGGAGAAGGATTGGATGGCAACTTTCCTGCTGTAATAGACTATACACCATATTTGAAGTTTACCCAAAGGTATTTGACATTTTGAAATATGTTATTGAAATCTTAATTTATAATTGAGTGTCTTGTTGTACAGTGCATTTATCTGATTAAAGTTGCTTTTTATAAAACATTTATTTCAGTGCCAGAAGTCATTGAAACATACAAACTCCAGTTACATTTGAGTGTTTATGTAAATACACAGTTTTTACATAATTAATAATAATAATAATCCCAGCATAGGTATAAGTTTTAAAAACAGCATGTATTTCTATTGCTGTAGTCATTATAACAATAACTTTATAGCTCTCTAGTAGTCCATTGAGATTTCAAAACTATAATTCATTATTTAGACTGTTTTCCATTTTATCTCTATTATAAATAAAAGAATAATGAACATTTTGTGCAAATCAATTTTCTTTTTGTTTCTATTGTGAATTTACAAGAGTTATTCAGGTAAATACAATGAAAAATTTTATGGCTCTTTTTTTTTCCCCCCCAAAGCCCCAGTAGATGGTTGTATGTTGTAGTTGCACGTCCTTCTAGTTGCTGTATGTGGGACGCAGCCTCAGCATGGCCGGAGAAGCGATGCGTTGGTGCATGCCCGGGATCCGAACCCGGGCCACCAGTAGCAGAGTGCGCGCACTTAACCACTAAGCCACGGGGCCGGCCCAAAAAATTTTATGGCTCTTAAAGTGTATCTTTATAAAAGAGTTGTACCAGTTTATCCTGCTACCAGTATTGTGTGAGAATCACAGATTTCTCACAATCTTGTCAGATTGAACATTAATCAGATGAAATCTATAGATTTTCTGAAGGTCTGCTTGCATTATTGATTTCCTGAATAGAATGATGATCTTTATATACTTTCACAATGTTATGATCAGGCCGAAGCTGTAAGGGAAAGAAAAAGAGAGAGAGAGTGAGTAATATGTATATGTATATATGTAATATATGTATACACACACACACATATTCAAGATGCATTTATTGAGTGCCTAATGTAGGAAAAAAACTTTCCTAGCTACTGGGGATACATAGATGTCAAGAGTATAGGGACTTCATGAACTTCTGAAAAATAATACAACCTCTGACCCCAGGATAATCATCATCTAGTGAGAGAAGTTGGTATTATTTCAGAGCTAGGAGTGTGAAGATATTTTGGTTGCTGAGAGAGAAGGAGGAATAGAGTATTATGGTACCACGATTTCTAATTGAGTAAGTGGATCCCTTGGGAAAAGGGATAATTCTAGTACATTAGATCTAGAAAAGAAGTACAGCAAGAAGATGTTTTGAACAGGCATAACATTATACCGTTTTGGGACATAGTGGATTATAGGACATTTTGTGAAGGTAACAAATAGTTCAAAATAATACTAATAAAAATAATAGTAATAATATTTATTGAATGCTTATCATATGCCAGGCATCGTTCTAAGTGCTTTACTTCTATTAGCTCATTTAATCCTCAAAAGCCAGTGAGATAGGTACTGCTATCCTTATTTTACACATGAGAAAAACTGAAACACAAAGAAGTTAAATAACTTTTCCATAGTTATACAGCTAGTTTATGCAGAGTGAGCCACAAGTCTAGAATTAAAGAGCAAGGTGACAGCTAGAAATAGGAGTTTGGTCATCAACATGTAGGTGCAAAGGCTATTTTTAGTGATTTAAGAAATGACTTAAATTATAAAGATAAATGTAAATACTAATTTTCCTCTCCTACTTACATAAGAGGCTGTAGTAATTATTACAATGCTTTTAAAAGATACAGTAATGGAACCTTCTCAACTAGTGCCCTCAGAATGAATTTAATTGTATATACTCTGTATCTGCAACTACTTAACCACTTTTTGTTTGAATTTTTATGCAATTTTCTCTTTCTTTGATGCACTAATCCAAACATGTGTGTAAAGCTTCCTCTCCTTTATACACTGAGGGATTCCCACCATCTTGTTATAAAGGATACTAAAACAAGAAGAGAAATAACAATTCAACCTAGTCATAAATCAGTTAGCATTACTGGCCATGGAGGTTTTCTTTTAAGGAAGATATAAACTATCCTAATTGTCATACAGAACCAATATTTTAAAAATTGAATTGCTTCTGCTGAAATATACCTGTATTAGACACTTTTTTAAAAAACTCTGTTAGTTTCCTAATTTTAAGAAACCCTAACGGTCTGTCCCTCCCCAAATTACTGCTTTTAATTTATTTGGAAAGTAGTTCATACTCATTGTAGAAAAATTAGAAAATACAGAAAGGTAGATGGAAGAAATTTTGTCAGTCATAATCTTACCTTCAAGAAGCAGCTGCTAGAAACATTAACATTTTGATGGATAGCTTTCCAGCATTTTCTATGCGTAGTTATATTTTTACTTTAGTTAATATGGAATCAAAATGTACTTGTAACTGTTTATTTCCCTTAATACTGTATAATGAACATTTTTGTATGTCATTCATTATCCTTCTACAGCATCATTTCCTAAAGTGAATAGAATTTCATTATCTATAGTGTAATAGGTTCTCCTAGTTATTGTTGGACTTTTAGGGTACCTTCAGTTCAGTATATATACAGTATTGCAGTTAATATCCTTATAACTACATCTTTTTTACAGAACCATGATTATTTCTTTAAGTTAAAATCCTGCAAGTAGAATTTCTGGGATAAACAGCATATATATTTTTAAAGCTTTTGAAATATGCTGTCAAATTGCCGTTCAGAGAGGCCATACCAATTTTGTTTGAATCAGCAATATGTGGGAGTGCCTGCTTCCTACCATTGCCAACTAAGTATTAAAAGTGTGGCCAATTCTATAAATGAAAAACGATTTCCTGTTTTTGTTTTAATTTGCATATATTTGATTGCTGGTGAAGTTGAACTTCTAAAAATATTTATTAATCATTAGTCTTTTTAAGTGGAGTTTTATCCTTCTGAAGCCAAATATATGAAGTACATTAATAGAAAACATCCTAAAATGTATTTCATATTTAAAATTAATTTAAGTTTTAGGTTGTGTACCAGTGAGAAACGGTTGTGTTTTTCTGAGTTACTGCTTGATAGAACTTCAAACGTCTTTCAACATTTTTTTCTTGAGTGGATTTTAGGCCTGAAAAGTCCAGTAGCTAATGATTGTTCGTCTTGTATGATGCCTTCAATTTTTCACTTTTAAGTATAATGCCATCATTAAGATACTTAGAGCTAAGTCTTTGTACTCAAACATGATTATTTCCTAAAGAGGCAAATTTCTACAAACAAAATTGCTGACTTAAAGAGGCTGTACATGATCAAATATGCTGTTAAATTGCCCTTCCTAGATGTAAGATTCCATATACTCTGCCTTTCCCCCCTCTTAGTAGGGATAAACTAATCATTTGCTACCAAAGGCCACTTCTTTGACGTATGCACCACATCCCATCCTCTCTCTTCTATTAAGGTTTTTGCTCCAGCAATTGTTCCCTTCCATTATTTTTCACTTTTCTAGATGTTCCCATGTATCACAGCATACAGGCATGTTGTTACTTTCCCCATCTTCAAAAATGAAACAGAACCCTTTCTAACCCCGTATTCACTTCTAGCTATTTCTCATTACTCCCTCTTTTATTACAGCACTGTGCCTCCAGAGTTTTTTTTTGTCTCCATTCTCTCTTGAACTTTTCAAATCTAGCTCTAATACCTAACCCTGAACTGTTCTTGTCAAAGGCAGCAGTGATATCTCATTGGCAAATCCAGTGGTTAGTGTCCTTATCTTACCTGACCTTTCAGCAGTGTTTGATACATGTGATTGCTCTCTTCAGCACTCTTCTGGTTTTCCTCCTCTTTCCTCCTCCTTACTCTCCAGTTTTTCCTCATCTCCCCAACCTCTAAATGTTGTACTGTTTCAGAGATCAGCCCTGAATCATCTTCTTTATCTACACTCTTAAGTTTCATCCAGTTTTAAGGCTTTAAACACTATTTTTTTGCTGCTCTTTCCCAAATGTATACTTCTACCTGGAATACTACCCTAAACTCTAGACTTGTACATCTAGCTGCCAACTTGACATCTCCACTTGGATGTATAATAAGCACCTCAAACTAACATGTGTAAAATTGAACTCCTAATTTCTTCCCCCGAAACTTCCTTTAGTCTTTCCCATTCCAAGAATGGTAGTTCTGTTGTTCCAGTTGCTTATGCTCAAAACTTTGGAGTCATCATTGATTTCTCGGTGCCATAATTCATCCGCATTTGCGGTCCATCCGCAAATCCTTTGGCACCATCACTATTATCTCCTTAATTTAAACCTGGCAATTTGCAATTGTGTTCATGCCTCTACCTCTGACTCCTCTGGTTTATTCTCCATCAAGCAGCCAGAGTGATCCTTTTGAAATATACATCAGATCATTCCATTCCTATGCTCAAAACTTTCCAGTACCTTCTTTCCATCTAACTCAAAGTAAAAGACAAATTCCTTGATTGATCTGGCCTCCAATACCTCTCAGACCTCATCTCATATTACCTGCCCTCCCACTCACTGTGCTTCAGTAACACTGGCCATCTTGTTATTCCTTGAGCATACCAGGCATAAGGGCACACCTGTGCATTAGGGCCTTTGCTCTTTCTGTTCTCTCTACCAGGAACACAATCTCAGATATTTACATGGCTAGCTCCCTCATCTTCTCTGAAACTCAGCTTAATACCACTTACTAATGAAACCTTCACTGAACCTCCTGCATAAAATAACATCTCTACCCATGGTATGCCCTTACTTTCTTTATTTTCTTTATAGCAGCTATTGATATCTAATACAGGTTATGTTATTTGTTTTGTCTCCTGCCACTAGAATGTAAACCCCGAGAAGTCAAAGACTTTTCTGTTGGTTCACACACATATCCTGAGTGCCTAGAACAATGCTTAGCAGACAATAGATGTGTACTAAATATATGTTTTGAAAATTAAATGAATGAATATCCTCTGGATTTTCTAATGCTTATTTATAGGATTAAAAATATTCCTCTGGGGCTGGCCCCGTGGCATAGTGGTTAAGTTCGCGCA